CCCACTCCAGTCCTCTTGCCTGGAAAATCCCATGGACGGAGGAGCCTGGTAGGCTGCAGTCCATGGGGTCGCGAAGAGTCGGACATGACTGAGCGACTTCCCTTTCACTTTCATTTTCACGCATTGGAGAAGGAAATGGCAACCCACTCCAGTGTTCTTGCCTGGAGAATCGCAGGGGCGGGGGTGCCTGCTGGGCTGCTGTCTCTGGGGTCGCACAGAGTCGGACACGACTGAAGCGACTTAGCAGCGGCAGCACCTGTGGAGATAAGCCTGTTTGGTCCACATCACCTGAAATAGAGGTGCTGGTTTGCAGGCAGTGTTTATTCAGATTGGTTAATACATAGGCCAGCAAATGTTGTTACTCCTGAGTACATGTGTTTGGGAAGCCTGTAGGACAGGAGTTCTCAACCTGGGCTGCAAATCAGAATCATCAGGAAAGTTTTTAAACTTTGAGTCACTGCTGCTGGTAAGTCTCTTCAGTTGTGTCCGCCTCTGTGCGACCCCAGAGACGGCGGCCCACCAGGCTCCTCCGTCCATGGGATTTTCCAGGTGAGAGTACTAGAGTGGGTTGCCATTGCCTTCTCCATTTGAGTCACTAAACTACCTCAAAGCAACTAATTAAGAACCTCAAGGGGTGGGGATCAGGCATCCATATTTTTCCCTTGAGCGTGTGTGCTTAGTCGCTCAGTTGTGTCTGACTCTTTCCGACCCCATGGACTGAGACATGCCAGGTTCCTCTGTCCATGGGGATTCTCCAGGCAAGAATACTGGAGTGGGTTGCCACGCCCTCCTCCAGGGGATCTTCCCAACCCAGGGATGGAACCCAGGTCTCTCGCATTGCAGGCAGATTCTTTACTGTCTGAACCACCAGGGTGTCCACGGCTGACGGTCCATCTAAGGGTCTCACATAAGCTGTTTGGGGCAGTGGGATGGGGTACAAGTGGAGTCAGAAAACACTTCCCAGGAAGAAATAAAGCCCCCTAGTCTGTGTCTGAAAAGACCCGTAAGAAAGGCAGTGGGGGAAGGTTTGAGTGTTCTGGTCAGAGAAGGAGCACGTGCCAAGGCCCTGAGGTGGCCCCTCCTTTCGTGGGCCCTGGTGCTCCTCTGGAACGTGGTCCTCACTGTGTCTATAGGTCTGTCTGCTCACAGAACAGGCAGCTCAGGAGACTCAGTGCAGGAAGATGCCTTCTGCATCCCTTTGTCCCCTGCTTTCGGCACAGTAGCTGATGCACAGTAGGAACTATATGCTTGCCCTAAATGAAGGAGCACCTGATGCCAAAACTGAGGGAGTGGGTCTATTTAAATGTGTACTGGTGGTCAGTTATGGACACCTCTGCCTTCATCAGTGGCGCTTTTAGAGCTTCTCTGCAGGAGGGGTCTAGGGGTCTGCTTGCAAAAGTTTAGTGGAAAGAAGGACCAAGGGACTAATTATGAAACAGCAGCTATAGGGCATTCCAGATGTTATTGCAAAACCACCGCTGATTCATAACAAAGAGTAGCTTGGGAGAGGACAAGCCTGATTGAGATATGAGGAGCTCCACTAGCCAAGCATCTCCTCATCCTTTTCACTGGCCTTGGCAGCTTCCAGGGTCACTCTGTTTACCCTGGGGGATGCCCAGGACCTAGAGAAGGGGCCGAATCTGCCATCAACAACCACATCTTTACCTGAAGATGTCTGAAGGGCCAGGAAGGGGAGGGCAAGGAGGAGTCTTGGGTTGACCTTGGAGATGACTTCTTCAGAGGGATGTGAATTATAGCAGGACTTGTAAGAACCCTGGCTTCTGGTTAGAGAATATTGTGGGGCTGGGCTTCCACCATGAAGGAGGGCTAAGTAGGGCTGGGTAGAGGGACACATGGATAAACAAGGTGCTGCTTCGTCTTCGGGGCAAACCCAGCTTTTTTTAGCTGACCGATCAGAGGCAAGTCACGTTACCTTCAGGCCTCTATTAGCTCATCTGTAAACTAGAGATAGTGAGAGAGATTCTTGTGCTGCCAACTTCACCGGGTTCAGGGAGTGTCCAATGTTACAGTAATGTGTTGGAAAACACGTTGTAAACTATAAAGTGCTCTACAAATGTGAGTGGTCAGTTCTATTCTCATGAGGCTGTTAAAATGATTAATTATGACAATATTATCAGATGGAACATGGCTTCTTAAGTTACAAATGAAAGAACCAGGGTTAACAAGAGGGAGAGGGGGCTGTGAAAATAGATATTATTCGAGATCCTCAATCATATACTGTTATTAGAATTATTTTTAATTTTATGGCCTAAGAATCCCTTTTTTCTATAAAATTTAATTAACTCAAGGTTCTATTTAAGCAGCAAATCCAATGGAATGAAATAACAATCTATGTTTTATGCCTCTGCATGTTTTTTCTCGTTTAATCCTTGAATGGAAATCATCTGGCAAGAGGAGAGTCTGTAGCTCAAGAATGAAGGTTATTTTAAAAGTTGTGCTTAAGGAGAAAATTAGCCAATAAATTATATTTATGATGTTAGTAAAAGTGTGCCATGAGTTCACCACATTTGAAATGTAAATTGTGCAACTTAATTATTAACTTCATTTTAATATTTTCCTACCACTGAAAACAGTCATGGGCCATTTGTAAAGCATTGAGCTCCAAGGGCTAAGAAGCCCAGAAACCTCCTTTGAACACATTCAATAGAATTATGCCTTCTGTGGTTTGGGAGAGAGCCTAAGGATTGGCACTGTTTCACCAAATAATATGAAATATTGTTCACATGCTAAATAAGCCTTCCCAAAGACAAGCAAACGTTTATTATTATATCTGTGGATTGTCCCCACTAGACTGTAAGCTCCCTGAAGGCTGAAAATTGACATTCCTCCTAATTATGTTCCTAGCACCCAGCATAGGGCCTAACACTTTACAGTTGTCCAGTATGTACCAGCACATTATGTAGTTCAGTTCAGTCCCTCAGTCGTGTCCGACTCTTTGTGACCCCATGGACTGCAGCACGCCAGGCCTCCCTGTCTGTCACCAACTCCCGGAGTTTACTCAAATTCATGTCTGTTGAGTCTGTGATGCCATCCAACCATGTTGTCCTCTGTCGTCCCCTTCTCCTCCCACCTTCAATCTTTCCCAGCATCAGGGTCTTTTCAAATGAGTCAGCTTTTCGCATCAGGTGGCCAAAGTATTGGAGCTTCAGCTTTAACATCAGTCCTTCCAATGAATGTTCAGGACTGATTTCCTTTAGGATGGACTGGTTGGATCTCCTTGCAGTCCAAGGGACTTTCAAGAGCCTTCTCCAACACCACAATTCAAAAGCATCAATTCTTCAGCGCTCAGCTTTCTTTATAGTCCAACTCTCATATCCATACATGACTGCTGGAAAAACCATAGCCTCGATTAGACGGACCTTTGTTGGCAAAGTAACGTCTCTGCTTTTTAATATGCTGTCTAGGTTGGTCATAACTTTTCTCCCAAGGAGTAAGCGTCTTTTAATTTCATGGCTGTAGTCACTATCTGCAGTGGTTTTGGAGCCCCCCAAAATTATGTAGTTGGGAAAGAAATTCATATGTATAGGGCCCTACTATGTGCCAGGAACCATTTATTTGATCTGAAACCTGAAGAGGAAGGATTAAAAAGTGAGTTTATCAGGCTAAGGTGCTTGCTTTTCAGCAAAAAAAAAAAAAAAAGAAGAAGAATCTTTTGTGTCTTTTTCACCAGGCTTACTCAAACTTCAGAGTCCTTCTAGTAATATAATCAACAAATCTCCAAAGGAGATATTACCACTTCTAATGTCCAAGTGAGAGAAAAGTGGCCCTGCAGAGCTGTAGAGATTGTCAGTCGTAGATCTCAGATGCCACCCCAGGAATGGGACTCTTCCTGGGCCTAGAGCTCACAAGTTTGTCAGTAGCAGAGAATATTCCTTTCTTTTATGAATCTTGGTGATCCCACTTTGCCTGGTTAAAACAGATTTCTAGGGCAGGAGTCTTGTCTGCCAGGACAGACTCTCCCAGTGGTGTTTTTTCAGTTCCCTGATTAGATCACTTAAAAGTCTGAAGATGAGCAGAAAGTTGGTTTCTTTTGTTTTGTTTTTTTGCAGTGGGCAAATTTGTACAAAACACATGATTATATACTTTAAGTCAAGCTATTTGATTCCCGGCCATAGACCTCCTGCAGACTCTGAAGCTGGAAGTGTATACTGATTAATTCCTAAGTGTATCTTAAAGGGCTTCTCCCACTGCTCTGGCTGGCCTTGCTCAGACACTGAGGGATGATGGATGAGAATATAGTTGATACAGTATCCACAGTGATGGAGCTCCTCGGAGTGATTAATCGTGTATATACTGGGTTGGTTTTGATACCCTTCCTGGTATTAAATGATACATTTTCTCCTCCTCCAACTGTATTTTTTATCTTGAAGATGGATTCTTTCAAGGACTGTCATTTGACTGCCTGCTCTACATGCAGAAAATTCAAGTCCTGGCCTAGGTGGTCTTGAGGTGACCTCTGAGAAACTCAGTTTATTCATCTGTAAAAATGGGGGTGACAGTTCATACCTTTCAGGGTCAGTGATAGCAGAGAATTTACTGAGAAGTGGCCGTGAAGCAGTGACTTGCTATACTCGGTGCAGGAAAAGCATTTTGTAACATGTGGACATACTCAGGAAAGAGAAGCAAATGATAAAATTACCTCTTGCCTTTGTCTCCTGGAGAAGAGAGACAGTGCTGGCATTGGATGGTAAATATGTGTAAAATGGTATTATTATTGCTTATGCAAGGTGGCTAAGCCCAGATCTGCTTGACTAAGCCCAGATAAACAGCCAGACACATTGAAACAATAATTGATTCTGGCTGCATCTGAGATGCTGTCTTTGGGATCAAGAAGTATCATAATGACCAACTGGATTTATTGTTTATATAGTCATGATGAAAAAGGGAAATGCATGTCCTCAAATCATACTGTTTTTAAAGCATTGCCCAGCAGCATCAGCTCCCCTTGTGGTTACATCATTATCTTTTTGTCTTTTCAGGCTGTGACCCAATTAGAACTTTTTGGGGACATGTCCACCCCTCCTGATATAACTTCTCCCCCTGTAAGTATGCATTGTGCTTGGAGCCCTGCATCTCTTTCCTTTCCTTCTTCAGTTGCATGGTGACAAATATATGGGCTTTGGCTAAAAGAAACTGCTGGTGGATTTCAACGCGACTCTTCCAGCTGTCTGATTTGGGCATATTAACTAGCAATTCTAAATGTCAATTTCCTCTGCTTATTTTTTAAAAAAGGAATTATGATGCATGCTCTGTTTTGAGAAATAAATGAGATCATGCATCAGCAATTACAGACTATCACTGGGGTGCTTGCCGTTATGCTGGGAAGTGGAAAGAGACAGGAGCAAGATGTGGTCCCTGCCTGAAAGGAACACAAGGTCCACCTGGGAATATGGGTGAGAAGCTCCCCGGGACAGCAGATGAGATGAGACATTTGTCATCTCCTACCCAGAGCCGCACAGCCGGGTGGTCAGCCCAGTAAAGGAAGCATCTTCTCCTCCGGACCTTTCAGTTCTTTCCTGCCTTGTTCCCTTCTGTCCTTCCTTTCTTCCTCTTTTCATTTCCTTCTCCCTTCCCATTTGCTTGCTGGCTTCTCTGAGCTTCTCAGGAAGCTTTGGATTCCCAGCTCTAGTTTCAGCCATGCTATCTCAGTCATTGCTTGCACTAGGGCAGAGTTCGCAGGGAGCTGAAGCAAAATAGAATCCCAGTGCTTTGAGAATGGGAGGCATTCAGAGGCAACCCTGCAGCCATGGCAAAGAGCCAAGCTAGCCCCTCCAGCTCCTGCCCAGCCCACTCCCCGGAGGTGGGCAGAGAGCAGTCAGCCACAGCTGCACCGGCTGAAGCTGCTGGGAGGGGGCGGCTTCTCTGGGGACCACATGTTTAGTGCAAACCCAGGGATGGTGCTATGGTTCATTGGCAAGCTGCGCCTCCCAGAGAAAAGGCTGTAACCTCACTGAGGACAGATGGCAGGAGAGCCTGCTGCCCACAGCTGCCGCCAGGGAATCTGAACACAGTTGCCCTGCTTCCAACACCTGGTACCCAGAGCAGCCATGAAGGAGGGGCCAGCTGCTCCTATCTCCAGGGAGGCTGGTTGGTTCTAGTGAGGCTTTCTCTCCCCACTTCCAGGGAAGGCAGCTGCATCTCTGAATCATGGGGCCGTGGAGCTAGAAAGGTCTGGAGTGATCTTCTAGCCTTATTTAGCACCTTCATTTTACAGATGAGCATAGTGAGTTCCAGAGAGGGCATGTGACTTGCCCAAGGTCACACTGGAGGAAAGCAAACGGCATTGATTATGGTCTAACGTGCTTAATGCAGCAGCTCATGGCTGTGTTTCTGGCCCTAAACCTGAGTGCCATCCAAATGGGTATTTAATAATCCTCAGAACAATGCCATGCCTCCTGCAAGCTGCTAATCTAAATATGGCCTTGTCTAATTGCCATGGTTTCAGGATTAATTGCTTGCCCCAGTCTATTCCAAGGGGAAAGAAATAAAGATATTATGTCATCAAATATGCATACTCTGTAGGCAAAAGTTTTCTGGAAAGGTATGAACCTTTAAAGAAACAAGTACTCAAGTTTTGATTTTAGTAGTCCTCACCTTACCCACCACGTCATGGAGAAGACATTTCTGAAATTCCAGCATGGGCCAGGATCTAGAGTTGGAAGCTGCTCTAGCATCATTTTTATCATCTTCTTGAGAACATTTGCTTCTTTTTGCAAGTGAAGTTTCAGGCAGGATTCTTCTGGGAGGCATGAGGACCCAAGGGTCTCTGTTCCACTTGCTAATCTTTATTTATTTAGTCAACACCTGTTTGTTGACCATGTATTCAGTGACAGCCTTGAGCTGGGTACACAGTAGGTCTAAGTGAGTGTATGTCAGTTTGAATTAACTTCTAAAGGACGAAAGCCAGATATTATAGGATAATTTGAGGGCCTGACGACATCCCCAGAGGGTATGGGCTCAAGCTAAATAGTCGTGATGCTGGCCAGTGTTAGCTGAGCACCTATTCTGTGCCTCAGCATAGTACTAAGTCATTTATATGCATTATCTCATTGAAGCCTGTCAGCAGCTCTGGAGATAGGTATTAATTTTCTCACTTTATGCTCTGTATACATAGCAGCGCATGGTCTGCAGTTCACAAAAAGTGGCCAGGACCAGGGCTTGCTTCTGCAGCATCTCCCTGCTTAACTCCTGGGCCTGCTGCCTCCCATCATGGTCAGCAATAAGGCTCTCCCAGGAGCCTCACACCCATCTGCCCCCTCTCTGTCTGACAGACTCCTGCAACTCCAGGTGATGCCTTTATCCCGTCTTCATCTCAGACACTTCCGGCGAGTGCAGACATGTTTGGTTCTGTACCTTTTGGCACTGCTGCTGTACCCTCAGGTAAGCCCTTTTCCACCTTCCTCCCACCTCCATCCACCAAGAAAAAGAAAAGGCTGACTGAGCCAGCTGCCAAGTTATGCCAGACACCTGTGGGATGACCATTCCCTTCCTTGACTCTTCAGGTGACACTAAGAAGCTGCCATGGGCAGGGAGTAGTATGCTTACCAAGCTCTGGTATGCGGGAGGCTGGAAACCAGTCATATCTTGACCTGAAAGGTCAAGATTCCAGATGGATAGCTTTGGGGAGCTCAGTGCACACACAGCCGTGTGAATCAGCGCAAATCCTGATTGGCCAGCTCAGCCTGATGCGGGGAAGGTAGGGGTGGGGAAGGGGCAGTTGCCCTTCACCGACCTCTTGAGACCTGAGTGATAGAAGGGGTAGAGGTTTAAGGAAGGGGAGGTTCCCCATGCAAAGGGGAACACCTAGGAGTTCTGCTGACAGTGAACAGTGAATTGCAATGGGGCTTAGTGACTTAGAGGGTATTTGTTCTATTTTCCAAATATTCTTTTACAACAGGGTAAAAATACATATAGTAACAGTGTTGCAGGTGCACATTGGTGGGGTCTGAGGCATCTTGTTTCCATGGCATTAAGCAATCCATGAAGCCAGCCCATTCTACCTGGACATGGCCAAAGGTGATATTTTGCTGTTGGTTTTGTTCAATCGCTAAGTCATGTCTAACTCTGTGACCCCATGGACTGCAGCATGCCAGGCTTCCCTGTCCTTCACTACCTCCCAGAATTTGCTCAAATTCATGTCCATTGAGTCAGAGATAGGTGGTATTACTTATGCTGTTTGCATACAGGAATTCTTAAAGATTTTTTCTTCCCTTAACTACATATTTGAAATATGTGGCTTTATCTTTCTTTTACTACTTTATTTATATAAATGATGGAGTACATTTTTCTATAAATAACTACTTTTAATTATGTAGTGTTAGAAACAAATTCTTGCCACCAGATATCAACCTTGTTTTACTTAAAGTGAGATTAAAACTTCATACTCTGTTCTGAAATAGTTATTCCTCCTGAGCTGAAGGCTCACTTCTAGAAGCAACAGAGGTTGGTAGCTAATGTGTCTCACTTACAGTTGAGAATCTATAGGTAGCCTAGAAATGTCTTTAATTGCTAAGCTTCCCAATCAAATCTGTTTTACCCAAACCTAAAATGGAACAGTGGCAATAGTTTTCCTTACCTAAACTGCGTATTTAAATGTCCTTGGGAATAATGGAATGGAATCTGTCGTTTTAAGTAAGAATAATAGTTTTCTGTCGGAGATGGACAGTCTTCTTGTGCTGTCAGCCTTGCATTCAGAATAACCATGCTTTGTCCCCATTATTTAATTCATGAAGATATACTGGGACAGAGGATGGTACCTCTAGGCACCAAATTTACTCATTTTCAAGCATTTTCATGCCATAAATGTTCACTGAGTATGCCCTGTGGGCCAGGTCTATTCGAGGTGTCGGGTGCGTCAGTGACTGCAACAGACACAGACCCCTGGCCGCAGAGAGCTTTCAAGTGGGGAGACGGACAACAACGTGGAAATGCGTAACTTAACGTAATCTGTTAGCAGTGCTGGATGAGCGGTACGAACAGGAGAAAACGTGGAGCAGGGCAGGTGTGAACGGGGGTGATGGTCAGAAGCAGGGGCTCATGCAAACCTGTGCTATGAGCCAGGAAGGTGTCAGGGTCAAGAGTACTCCCATGGCCCTTCCCAGCCTCCACCCCCTTTCTCTCTAAGCAAGAGGGGCTGGAATCAGTTCTGGCCCTTACACTTGACTAAAATGCCTGAGAACCTGCCTGTACTGCTCCAGGCCCTCTGCCCAGCCGGGGCCAGGTTATGGCTTTGAAGAACTCTATTGTACAATCTTACCACTTGATCAGCCATGTTCCACACTGTGGACAGACCATTCCGCCCATTCTGTTTCTTAAGCTGCTTTAAAAAATGATAGATTACCTCCAAGATTTCAGTTTTTACAATGTAAGTCTAAAATTAATTTCAGTTAGCATATTTTTGCTTTCTTACTCTACTTAAGCTCTGCCGAGAAACAAAACTGGGCTTCAGGTGGTGTTAAACTGTCGGCCTTCTTCCTTTAACTGGCCTTAAAAATCTCTGCAGCTATTGAATCTCCATCTCGCTGTCCCTAATTGCCCTGCCAGCAACAGGGAGGTGGGAAATGACCTGGAGTGTGTAGTGCAGTGAACAGGCTGTGTTTGAGCCCTGGCTCAGCCATTTATCTATAAGCTTTAGACACCTGGGCAAATTACTTAACCTGTCAGAGCCAGAGTTTCTTCATTTTTATAACTGAATTTAAAATAATACTTACCTTGCAACAATATCATGAGAATTAAATGAGGAAATAAAATCAAGTGCTTCTGAAAAATGCTGGCATGTTGTAAATGCTTTGTGTAGAAAATGCTAGTATTATTTTTACTCTGACATCTAAAGTAGAAGAAAATATATCTTGTTTTTACCTTTTTTTTTTCCTTTTCCTTCTTGGGATGTTCCCTTTTTAAAAAAAAAATGCATGTAATAAAGTTTAGGTCTTTGACCTCCTGAGCACATGGCAGAGCTGGCCTGAAGGGCTGGAGTGTATACTCTATAAATACAGACCCTTCTACTAACCAGCTGTGTGACACTCAGCTATATCACTTCAGAGCCTCAGGGAACTTATCTGTAAAGTGGGGATGATGATTCTACCACATCAAGCTATTCCTGAGTTAATCACATGTAGTAAAACATTTAAAACAGTACCTGGCAGTTTTTACATAAGTAAGCACTCAGTAAAAGTTCTCTGCCCTACTCACCAGGGATCCTGACTCTTCTACCCATACTCTGGGTAGCCACATCAAACCTTCCACTCTGGAAGCTGTCAGTTCCTGGTATGCAGATTGAAGAGATATTTTTCAATATTTATTTATTTATTTGGCAGTGCCAGATCTTAGTTGTGGCAGCTGGGATTTATTTCCCTGATTAGGAATTGAACCCAGGTTCCCTGCATTGAGAGCATAGAGTCTTAGCCACTGGACCACCAGGGAAGTCCCAGTTAAAGGGCTATTGATAACAGCCACCCCAGAGACTTGTTGAAGGATCAGCTTCACTAAAAATGTGAGCTCCACTAGGGTAAGGATTTATTTATTTGTTTATTTTTAATACTGTCTTGTTCTTCACTGAATCTCCAGAAACAGTGTTTGCCACCCAGGAGGACTACTTTTGAACAAATGTATCAAATGACATAATGTAGATGAGAGGTACCACACAAGCTCTGTATATGTTAGAGAAACCCTTCAGTTTTCAGTGTTTTCTTACCTTTTAGTCTGTTCTCCCCGCCTCCCCAAATACTGAGAGTATTCCCAGGTGCAGCATCTGGTTATAAATTGCCGTTTTCAACACTGAAAAATCTAACTGCAAGGCAGTAATGCAGGTGGTTCCTTTCATTGCAGAGAGAGATTTATGATTGATCTGAACTTCGTGGCATAAACAGACACTCATTGGCACCTCCTTCCTCTGCTGTTGAACGTTAGCGAGTAAACAGTTACTAAGCTGCTAAGTGGCTGCAGTGGCAGCTTCGCAGCGGCTTCCCATGTCTAATGCTAGCGCAGCCCTGCCACCGAGATGTCCCATCAGGGACGCATGATGCCACGTGGCCAGAGAGCCTTAGCTCACAGGTCTGGGGAAAGCCCCCACTGCCGGGACCCCCCTAAGGAAAGCAAGTGAGACCTGCAAGTTCCCAAACATGACACCTAATTACCCTTGCTGTCTTTTTTTTTTTTCTTTTGAATATTGTACTTTGGTCTGAAGCAGATGGCATAAAGCCAGGGAGATATGCTAACAGCTCTCTTCAGAAAAGTGTGTACAGCCCATCTGCTGGTTCCTTGTGGCAAAAAGGGAAAAAAAGATAGCGGGGGGAAAAGCCTGCTACCAACAGTAGACTGACTCATCAGAGATCATAGCACTTATGGTTACTGGAGTTGAATTGGACACTTAGCAAAATGCAGTACAGGTATTTATTCCACTGTGACTCAGTCACCTCTATCTAGAGTCTTTCTCCAGCCTTAAGCATTTATGGAGCAGTGGGTGTGTGCCCACAACTGTGTTAGACACAGATGGGGGAGGCAGAAAGAAGTAAAAGGCTCCTACTCACGGGGGCTCTCTAGTCTAAGGAGGGAAGATAAAATCATTGTGCAGTTACAACACAGTAACTTTTTACTGTGATGTGCACCATGATAGAGATGAACATAAAGAACTGTGCATGACGAGAGGAGAGCCAGCTAAATGTAGAGGGCAGAGGTGATGCTGAACTGAGTCTCCCAAGAGCAGAGGAGGGACAGTGATGTGAAGAAGTAAGGATGGGTTTCCATGCAGGTAGACCAGCAGAGATGAGGGAGCAGGTTGTGTTGTTTGCAGCTGCCACAGGGAAGGGTGCCAATGACAGAGCAAATGGGAAATAGGGGTGACAAGATGGAAAGAGGCTGGCCCCATAGCCCCAAAGATAAGCTAAGGTCTCTGGGCATCATTTTCTAGGTGATAAAGCACTGTACCACTGACCCTTGAACAATAAATGCCTGAATTGCACAGGTCTACTTATATGTGGATATTTTTCAATGAATACTACAGGAGTACTATGTATGATCCCAGGTTGGTTGATTCCGTGGGTGCAGAACCAGGTACATGGAGGGTCAACTATAAGTTACACGTGGATTTTCCATTGCTCAGGTCTCAGTCCCCTTAACCTGAGCATTATTCAAGGGACAACTGTATTTGCATTTTAGAATATGGTGGCAGTGAGGAGGGTGGGATGGAAGCCAAGCATGAAAGTCTGACTGGAGACTGAAGCCTTCCATCCATTTACCAAAACGGGCATCAGGGTTGGCATGGTAGGAAGATCCATGGGCAAGTCTTCACCATGTGAGACTTAGTACCCCTTTTTATAATGAGGATTTATGACATCTCCTTTAATATTGTGAGATGAAATTCATCAAGAATATAAACTACCTACATAGTTGTTCAAAAATCAATATAGTGTCCTAGTATAGGACATTGTTGTCATTGACATTAACATTGTCATTGACATTGTTGTTACGTTAGTAGTAGAAAGAAGAAATAAAAGCAAATTTGTAATAACAAGATAAGTATTTCCACTAGGAAACCCCCAGGCGCCACCACACTGGCTTCCCCCATAGCTCAGTTGTTAAAGAATCTGCCTGCAATGCAGGAGACCTGGCTTTGATTCCTGAGTTGGGAAGATCTCCTGGAGAAGGAAATGGCAACCCACTCTAGTATTCTTGCCTAGAGAATTCCCATCACAGAGGATGCTGGCAGGCTACAGCCCATGGGGTCACAAGAGTTGGACACAACTTAGCGACTACACCACCACCATCACCACACGAGAACACATGCTCAGTGGTCAGACGTGTGTACCTAAAACCAACAATAGCATAGACCAACCAGAATAGGAGTGTTAACGCTGTCTCCAATGCCATCAACAGGGACCACAGTTTTCCAAGTTGTTGGTCTTGACTGTGTTCCAAAGAAACAAAATATAATCCTACCCAATGTATGCATTTCTGAAAAATTAAGTGCATTAAAACTGTGCAAAGAAATTTTAAATTTCCACGTGATTCAAAGTACACCCAAATAATCACAAATTCTTTATCATGCACGTCATCTCCCATATTATAGGAGGTCTAGTGTCGGTGCTCTTGACCCTTAAATGTCAGTACTGCCCCCCACCCCACCAAGTTTTTCTGACATTCAAAACACACCCCAAGAATTTCCTAATCATCCCCTAGGAGGCAGTAGAGCTCCCACCAAGAACCACTGAACCCCATCAGTCAATGGGAAAATAAGAAAAACAAAGTTGCAGAATTCTTTGTTGTTACGTTTAATCATTGTATTATTCTGTGATAGACAACATAAGCAAGCTTTCAGTACCAGTGCCTCTTCCCTTTTTGCTACCAAGAGATATAATCATTTTAAAAGGAGCACAAGTGATACTTTATACCCTAATAACAGAAACAATATAATTTCCACTTATTAAGTGCTTATAGCATGTTAGGTATAGTATTAGGTGTTTCACAAAATCCCTGCAGTGTCAGTATCATTATCTACATTTTAGGGATAAGGTGATTGGTGCTCAGAGAGGAAAAGTAGAGTGTTAGTATGTGTTCTCATTTCCTTGCACTAAGACCAAGGTGATCTGATAAGGATATTTTCTGTTTTGTTTGTTGCCACTCCTGCCTCATTCCATAAAAGTACTGAACACAATTAATTAGCAGGAAGCATGTGTTTCTCTGTCCACCCCTTTTGGAGCCTCCTCTCACCTTGTAAGGAAATGGACTGGCTTTGAAAGTTGGCTCCATCTCTTATGAATCAGTTGAAGGACAGGTAGATCTGAGGCTAGCGCATGGGTGAGGCAGCCCATGTGTCATTTCTCTGGGTTCACCAGAGTCATCAACACAACCCAGGTCATTTTGGAAGCTGCTCGGACACCATACATCCACCCTCTTTTTTTCCTGGTCTCACCGTTCTGTACCTGCAAATTCCATCTGGCAGCCCTAAAAATGCTTATTTTGAGAGGTCAGTCTTCACCCTCTACTCTGCCTAGACTGGTCGTCTGTCTCCTGGGCTTCATTGCACCCTGAGAAGGGTGGGAACCCCTGGAAGGACATGGGAGTCTCCTCCAGGCCCACAGTAAGCTAAAACATCTGATGGTTGGACCAACTTTATGGACTGTGCTAAGATCAGAAGTCAGTCTTGGCCATCTGGGTGAGGTAGTAGGGGGCAGTAGAGAGAATGCTGGCTTTGGGGACAGATAACCTCAGTTCAGACCCTGATTTCAGCTTAATGTCCGCTGTGTGACCCTGTGCAAGTTACTTTTCCTTTCTGAGCACCAATTACCTTATACCTAAAATGGAGATAATGATACTGACCCTGCAGGGATTTTGTGAAGATGTGAAGCACCTAATACTATACCTAACACATTGTATGCACTTAATATGTGAAAATTATGTTGATTCTGTTATTATGGTATAGAGTATCACTTGTACTCCTTTTAAGATGATTATATCTCACTGTAGCAAAAAATTATGATAATGTAAGTGAGTACACCCCCTGGAGTTTTAAAGTGACCCATCTGTGCCACTGTATGTGGTATTCCTAAATAGATTACTAAGCTACATTTTTTAATCTCTAAGATTGGCATAACAATAATATATAATAATGCATAGAGCTACCTTTTATTGCATGTTTGTTACATATCAAGGAAGGTATTAAGTAATTTTATAGGCTGTGATTCAAATCATACTAATGGTTAACATTAACTCAATATTCATTCTATGTCAGCCACAGTTCTCTATATCTTAAATATATAATCTCAGTCTTTAACATAACGAGGCAGAAGGTATTTTCTGCCCATTTTACAGATAAGGAGAGGCTTAGAGACCTTCTTAAGCTCTCCCCAGATTCCATAGATAAGAAGTGGCAGTCTGAATTTTAACCTTGGTCTCAATCATCTTGCACATGGTTTTGATGTGAAGAAGGAAGGTGCTGTAGCCCGATTTTACAGCAAAGAGCTTGACTCTTAGCAGAAGCAATGAGGATGCCCTCAGTCTAGCAAGAAGGGGAAGCAAGATTCAAACCAAGATGTGCCTGTTTCCAGCACTCTGCCCTTCCCACTGAGCACACTGGTTCCTGAGCTCTATGATGTCAGAAACCTTTGAGAATTATAAGACTATGAGTACTTTAAGAACTATACCATTATTATTATTACCCCCAAATGCCTGCCTGGCTTGCTCCCTCCCTGCATTCTAGTTTCTACTTACAAGTCATCTCCTTAGAGCAGTTTTTCCTTACCACAACTGTAGAAGGCAGACTCCAAGAGAGCAGGGCCTTCTGTCCTACTCACCTTTGCATCCTAGCCCACAGCCTGACACTGAGTAGTCACTGATGCCTTTCTGCCAATCCCTTGACTCCTTGAATGCTTCTTTTTCACGCCTGCAGGTTACGTTGCCATGGGCGCCGTCCTCCCATCCTTCTGGGGCCAGCAGCCCCTTGTCCAACAGCAGATTGCCATGGGTGCTCAGCCGCCAGTCGCTCAGGTGATGCCGGGGGCTCAGCCCATCGCATGGGGCCAGCCGGGTCTCTTCCCTGCCACTCAGCAACCCTGGCCCGCCGTGGCCGGGCAGTTTCCGCCAGCCGCCTTCATGCCCGCACAAACTGTTATGCCTTTGCCAGCTGCCATGTTCCAAGGTCCCCTCACCCCCCTTGCAACCGTCCCAGCCACGGGTGACTCCGCCAGGTCAAGTCCACAGACCGACAAGCCCAGGCAGAAAATGGGAAAAGAAATGTTTAAGGATTTCCAGATGGCCCAGCCTCCGCCTGTGCCCTCCCGCAAGCCCGACCAGCCCTCCCTCAGCTGCACCTCAGAGGCCTTCTCCAGTTACTTCAGCAAAGTCGGGGTGGCACAGGATACGGATGACTGTGATGACTTTGACATCTCCCAGTTGAACTTGACACCTGTGACTTCTACCACGCCATCGACCAACTCACGTGAGTGTCCTTCTCTGGAGACATAAACCCCTGAGAGCCACTGATGCCTGGTTTCTGGTGTCAGAGAAACCACCGCAGTTGCCTTCAACAGGCCTCTTGTTTATATCACTACTACTACCAACAATAGCCTCCCATTAGTAGATGCCAGTTATATGTACCTTCTCCATGGGCTTTATATGTGTTATTTCTACACTCCTAACAATGCTTATGGCAAGTTTTGTTAGACCTGTTTGACAGATAATGAGAGTGAGATTCAAAGACAAAGAAAATAGACAAAAGGGTAGAATTGAATACAAGCCTGTTATTTTTCTAGCATGTCACCCTGTTTTCTGTTTTTGTTCATTCGCTCCTTCATGTATTCATGTATGTATATCCCAGCTCTGACACATAGTTTTGGGTATGGCTTATTGAACTAAAACTGAATGGAGTATGTGCATTTAAAAATCGTTAGGAACAAGGATAAAAAATTAGAAAATTAAGTTCAGGAGAAAATGCAGGTCAGAGATAGAGCAGTCATAAAGCCTCCTACAGCAGGTAGAGTAGCAGCCGGAATTTGGCTCAAAGCTTCGGATAGTCAAAGAGAAAAAAAAAAAAGTTCTTGTAGCAGAACACTCTGAACTAGGAATCCAGAGAGCAGCTTGATTACTTCTTAGTTTTGTGCCAATGAGCAATTCATTTTATTTCTTTGTGCCTCAGTTTCCTCAACTATCTCAGGCTAAGGGTCATAAAAAGCATTCAGTGGTACAGGTACTAAAACATCACAACCCTCAAAGAGTTGGAAGTATTTTTATCATCATCGTTATGGCACACCAAGTGGATTTACGCAGAGTCCTGGACTGAGGTTCTAGTCCTGCTTTCTCTACCCCAAGATGTATCTCTGGGCAAGTGTGTGACTTCTCGTAACCCCCGTTATGTCTTGAGTAGGATAAGTGAGCTGGCTTCGATAGCTTTGTGCCTTGTCCTGTTTGTGGCATTCAGGGATTCTCCCCCAACTCACTTTTCTACTGCCAGCCTCTGGCAAACCAGTACCATGCAGCCAAACAATCCAGGTACACTGGGGTACACCAATGCCAGCTCGACAGCAACCCGGGAAGCTGCCGGGTGATCCAGCCTGTGCCTTAACAGTTGATAAGGGGAAGGAAAAGGCTCATGCCACAGTGAGGTTGGCGTTTTCATTACTGTCACATGATACGGATCACTGCTTAGCCAATACCGCGAATTGTTAAAAGAATCTAAAATGTTAGCACAATTAGATAATGTCACTTCAGCCAGGTCTGGGATGCTGTTCTGAAAATGAACCTCTTCTATGGGTATAAATAGCCTACTTCTCGGGCCATATCATCTGCATGGTGGGGGCATCTCTATTTACTCCAACTCACAGGGTTTCAATGAAGAATCGTGAATTTAAAAAAATGAAACACTAAAGAAATGACAGCCATGCATAAATAAGCAAACATTTTTTGAAAACAAATGTCTCTATTTCAAGGGGCTGGTGTGCCAGCTACATAAAAAAGGGAAGTGTAAGTTCTTTGAGGACAGGGAGTATGTCTTAGTCAGCCTCATGTTGCTGCACTTTTTTTGATGCTCCTGTGGCATCTGGCACATGGGAGGTATTTTGGAAGATTGTAGAGAATGAAGGAAAAGGAACAAAACAAAAGCTACTTAGTAACTCTTGTGTTTCAGAGCAGGGCTTTGTATCCTTGGCACTGTTGAGATTTGGGGCCAGATAATTCTTCATCGTGGATGGTCATCCTGTGGATTGCAGATGTTTAGCAGCATCCTTTTCATCTACCCACTGGATGCCCAGTAGTCACATCCTCTTCCCCTAGCCATGATGACAAAAAATGACTCTTGATAATGCCAGATGTCCCTTTGGGAGTAAAACTATCCCGGATTGAGAACTACTGTTTTAGAGTATAGAGGTATTCTATAAAAACTTCTAAAGGTTAAACACTTGCATAAATAAACAGTTTTGCATCCCACTGATTACGTCCAGTAAATATGAGCAGTATACCTCTCAGTATTGGCAGCTTGGTCAGGATTCTCAGCCTTTAGTAAGAAATTACATCAAACTCACTTTGGAATCCAATTTCACTAATAAATATTAAGCATGTGCTGCATATCAAGGTTTTTCACATAGATTATCTCTTTAAACCTACTTCCTTTTAATTAAAAAAAAAATCCTATGTTTTAAAGAAAATGATTACAGCCTGTCTTTCTATCCTCTGTCTATCAGCATCACCTTTCAAATGTTTTGGGTGGAGCAGAACCAAAAGTGATCCTCAGATAGAAATAGAAAAGCACAGTGGGCCTGAGCAATATCAGATTTGTGCTAACTCCCAGGGCTCCTGCTTCTTCATAGTTGTGTTAACTCTGAGAAGGGCACTTCATCTCTTTGAGTGGCAGTTTCTTCATCAGAAAAAGATAGCAGGTACAATAGCACCTGCAGTGTTTATATTAGAGGGCGTGATAAATACAAAGTGCCCAGCGCTGTGTCTAGCTTACTGACACGCAGTAAATAACGGCTTTCTAAAGATGTTAGAGTTGCAAAAGCAACTCACTAAGTTTTATAATCACTCACTGTCTGATGAGCAGCCAGATTTTGTAAATTCTGGGAAGTAATGGCAGGGAGACCTTATCAATGCCTTTTGAAGTTCAACTATTAAATCAAGTCTTATCCTCCTCCCCCTACCTTGGGGCTGAGCCAGTGAGGAGTATTTTCCATGCCAAGTTAGAAATTATGGGAAGGAAAGTGGTTTCCAGTGGCATATTTATTATAAACCTCTGGAATAAAGGAGACAAGGAAATTGTGGGAAGGTCAGGACAGAAAATACAGATCCTTATGGATTGAGGGAAAAAGCATCAGCTGTGAAGTTGCCTTCAGCCATGTCCATTTCCCCAGATCACTGAGACACTCTTCATTCACACAGGTTTATCAGACACCTACTACATGCCAGGATACAAAGCCTGCTTTCACCTCTTGCCAAGTCTGAGACCTTGAACAATTTAGCAACCTTCACTGTCCTTATCTGTAAAATTGGAGAACCCCTACCTCAAAACAGCTTTCTGAGGATCACAGATATTGCCTGTGAAATTTGATGGCCTCTGATACATGGAAGGCATCCAATAAATGCATCGCACTATCCTTGTCTCTATTTATTCTTATTGAAATAATTGTATGAAATTAAGAAAGAGAAAGAAAACTATAACCCAGTGGCTCTCAACATGAGTCTGCGGAAACATGGAGTTTCTGGTTCAGCAGGTGTATCTAGGTTAGGGTCCAAGAATGTGTATTACCAACAAGTCCCCAAATGTGACTAATGCTACCAGTCCAGGAGTATCCCTTGAGGACCATTACCTCACCCATCCCTGTGGACCAGCTCCTCCTGACTGTCAAGTATGTGAGAGGACAGGATAAATAGATAGAGAAGAGAGATTAAACTATTCAACTGATTTGACTTGTGATGGGAAGAGGTGTCCTGGGATTTGACTCAAACCTAACCAGATCCCTGGGGTTTCTGTGGGGTAAAAACAGTTGCCCCGGATACTTAGGATGTTTTCTCTTTTTGCATGGTCTCCATATAGCTCCAACCCCAGCCCCTAGACAGAGCTCTCCATCCAAATCATCTGCATCCCATGCCAGTGATCCGACCGCTGATGACATCTTTGAAGAGGGCTTTGAGAGTCCCAGCAAAAGTGAAGAGCAAGAAGCTGTAAGTGACTGGTTTGTTCTTTCTGAGTTGTTGTTGTTGTTTTTCCATTTAAAACTTCTGTATCTAAAATGAACAATGCATGAGGAAGCCTATGTAGAAAAGAATGCTGACTCGGACTCTTAGGTTCTAAAGGGGTGACTAAAGGGATTTTCTTTTATGTTCAAATGAGAAGCTGAAAACTGTTATCCTTTCATTACATTGTTGCAAGTTTTCACATTTGCAGAAGTGGCATCCTCTCAAGGGAGTGCTGCCTTCTTTAAAATAATGGATGATATGTGTGCATGAAAATGTACCCAGCTGTCTTATATTTTAAATTACTGAAAAGAAAAAAAAAAGTGTTATCTTCTTGTGTTCTAGCCTGATGGGTCACAGGCCTCATCCAACAGTGATCCCTTTGGTGAGCCCAGTGGGGAGCCCAGTGGTGATAATATAAGTCCACAGGCCGGTAGCTAGATAGCACAGGTCTGGGTAGGTATCTGTCCTTTTGATCTCCCACCCTTAAGCCATCCGCTCTCCCTTTTGCTTGCTCATTGCCTCTGAAGTCGCATCGTTGATGTTCGCACCATCTTCCTGGCCTGAGCGTATCCTTGATGTTTGCATCATCTCCCCTTGCCTGGTGTCTGTCTTCCACGTTATTTATCCTCATGGATGCATGACCTTTGACATGTATTGGGAGTAGGGGTAAAGGTGAGGAGTGGGGAATGGTCATACTATTTTATTACTGATATGTTCTGAGTTGCGGGGTGGTGAGGCATGGTCAGAGCTGCTTAATGTGGATTCAGTGTCTGAAAGCATCAACATTCTGAGATGGACACATTCTTTCTCAGTGAGATGTGGTCCAGATGCTTCGACTCCCTTCAGCTGTGTGTCACAGAATTTGCCTACACTCCACAGATCTAAAAAAAGAAAAGAAAAAAAAAATCACCAACCAAACAGACTGAGAAGGCAGACTAAGAAACAAAACAAGCAGTTCTTGAGATAAAATTGATAGAGATGTGAGATCATGGTAGCCTGTTTTGTTTGGCCAAAAGGGGCCCTGCACCCTTTCTGGCGTGAAAGTGGAATTCAGACCTGTGAAAGTGAAATTCAGAGACGTGTGGCATTTGCTTCTGAGGCTCTGCTGTTTGCACCTGTGTGACAGCCAGAGGCTTGCCACCAAACCACTTCAGACTCCATCAGCAGCGACTTCGAGAGAGGTGTACTTACATTTACTAGAAGTGGGTTTAGGCACTTGAATTTCAATACATCTGATTTGATGGAAAGAAAGAGGAGCTGATGAAGCCAACTTTCCCAGGAGACAGAAGTACTCCCTTGTTACCCAGACATGATTTCTAAGGTCACTCCTTGACAAATGTCTTCAATTTTCAGATGCTTTTCTAGTTTTCCATAAACGCCTAGGACCGCAAGGCCCTAACCAGCAGAACTCCTTTTTTAGGCTCGAGCAGCATGGTCACAACCATTAAAATGGTAAATAGTTTTCACTGTTCATAAATGGATTCTGAGGCTACCTTGGAATCAGTTGCCATTTGTGTGTAAGTTATTTTGATGGTTATTGAAAGCTCATAGAGTGTTTTCAAAGTGAGTTTTGTTCATAGATTTTATGATTAGAGAATCTCACATACCATACCTTCTGCCACATTTCACCTCAGTACAATATGTAACACACGAGAATACCTTCGTGCCATGCAAACACCCATCTAAAAATGTCATCTTACAAAGCTATTTGGGGAGCTTGTGATAATAGACAGAGTCGATGTTCCAGGAAAGGCAGAAGTTGGAGATGATGGGTGGACACCTTGGGAAGATGCCCCAACAGGTTTTTCTACCCCTTTCATAAGTTTTGTTTCACATGCTCACCCTTGCCTTGAAAAATGTGATGAAGTAGGGGTGACAAGAGCCATTCATCAGCATAACAGCCAACATCTAATCCTAAAATTGAACTTCTTCTAGAGAACAGCGATGACAGACAGCATTTGCAAATCAGTGCCTCACACCCTCATCTTTACGAGTCTGTTCTGCTTTAGACAGTTGTGCAAGCTGTTTTGTGGGGCCTCAGCCTGTTCTGTGTTGTTTGATGCTCTGTCTAGAACCCCAGGCCAGGGCTGAGTTGTGAATGGATGTGGCACCGTCTTGTGGGAAGAGCTCAGGATTTGGAACTTGAGCTCAAATTCTAGCTCAGCTACCTTGGAAATCTTGGGCAAGAACCATCCTTGCTGCTGAGTCTTGGTATGCTTATCTGCTGGCAGGGCCTGGTGTATCCATTACCTTAACTGAGATGGCGCATAGAGCAGACACTCGGTACTCAGCTTAAAAATCTGGGTTCTGGAACTAGAGTGAATTCAGAGTCTGGCACTAACACTTATGAGCTATGTGACCCTGATGAGATGTCATAATAATTCTCTATCTTATTTAGAAAGATAAGGATAAAAATAGTCTTTCTCATGAGGTTATTGTTTGGACTAAGTGATATGTCTGGAATTCTTAACACCATGTCTGACACACGGAAAGTAGCCAAGCTATTACTTGCCATCAGCAACACCAACACCATCACCACCACCCCAAACCGTCATCACATGTGCTCAATAAACATGGTTTACCACTCCCTTGGATTTTATACATTTAGCCCTTACGTCCTTATGTTGAATAAATTCCACCATAAGGACCCAGGCCATTGCCTGGGAGGTTTTGCTTTGTACTTTCTATTTGCAAGTAATTAATTTTCAGTATGCCTTAAAAGAGCTTTGGGGGAAAAAAGAAAATGAAAAACCCTATTTCTTAGTTCTCTGGCTCACCCTGCCCCATAATCAGAATGACCCCTTTTAGGGCCTCATGGGCCAACTCACTTCTCCAAACAGAGCAGCCTTATCTTATATTCACATGTAAATCATAATAAGTAGTTCCCAGCTCCAAAGGCAGGCTGGGCTATAATCTTCAGTGAAGCAGTTTCCTCCCTTTGAAAGCTTAGTCTGGCAATTTTACAGTGGCCTATCAGGGATCACATGCCAAGAGGCCGCTGCCAGCCTTGCTGACACGTCCTGTAAGACACCCACGTGGTGGCGGTGGTGGTTTAGTCGCTAAGTCGTGTCCGACTCTTGCGACCCCATGGACTGTAGCCTGCTAGGTTCCTCTGTTCATGGGATTCTCCAGGCAAGAATACTGGAGTGGGTTGCCATTTCCTTCTCCAGGGGATCTTCCCAACCCAGGGATCGAACCCAGGTCTCCTGCATTGCAGGCAGATTCTTTACCAACTGAGCTACAAGGGAATCTCCCAAGACACCCACAACGGAGGTCCAAATGGGGCTTCTGGGCCCCTCCTTCAATATAGCACAAGCCACATTTGATCTTTCTGTCTCCATTCCATTCACCCATCCACCCAACCGTAAATTTACTGACTGCAGTTTCTTAGCGCCTTTCCAGACATTTGGAGAAGGGATACACCATGCAGCGCAACTTAGGTCCATAGTTCTATTTTCCCCTCTGCCTCCATGCAGCTGGAAAACAGGAGTCTCAGCCTTCTTATCACCGTTGCAACCATTATCACCAGCTGCTTTTTATTGGAAATGCCCGCACAATTCTGAGTAGGTAGGGGTGACATCTGTTGATAAGTTAAAACCATATCTCACCCTCGTAAGGGGAAACAGACGGCCTTAATCCTCACAGGTGGACGCTTTGGGGCCAATCTCAAACAGCATTTCTGTTTTAGCAATAACGGAGAATATCTTCATTTATTTCATGTTTTCCCCTACCCTCCCATCTGGGAGAATCACGTGTCTGTGAAAGACTGGGTCAACAAGGGCACAAAAAAAGAACCCAAATAATATTATAATGGCTGGTGTGGGAATGGCAGGTAATTTATACTCCACTGATGTGTTGCTGGAGCAATTTTAAGGGCGAAATGTTAGCTTTTGAGGAGATGAAAGAAAAATGAAAACATTTATTTGGTTAAATAGCTAAGTAAATAAACTGCCTATCAGACTTCCCCAGCTGTCACGTCAAAGTAGCATCTGTAACAATGGAGAATTGTTTGGTCTGTCTCCCTTAGTAACAATAGATATTGCCATAAATAATAAGTCACTGTCATTTTTTTTTAAAGACCAATCTTCATAGTGGGAACCCAAGACATATAAAATATTACCTGATGGATTTTTAGTGTTCAAGGGAAAGAAAAGCAGAACTTTAGATGCTTTGGGAGAGAGATTTGGAAAAAAAAAATAAAAGAGAGAGAGTGAAAACAGATACCCAGAGTCAGGGGACTTGGGTCTAAATTACAGTTCCTAAGCACGTGATCTTAGGCAGGACTTTAGCTAACCCCTGAAACCCCACTCTTCACACATAAGTGAAAATTAATCATGACAATAGCTCCCTCCTCAGGCTCTCCTAGAAGCAGAAGATACCATGAGTATGAGAGTGCTTTATAAGCTTTGAAAGTAAAATAGCACATATTTGGCATTATTATTACTATTTTGCTTTTAAATAGAATCACATAGTAAAAAGCCTTAAAACAGAGAACCACAGAAATGGAAAATAACCACTTCTTTACATGAGCATAGTGGTGCTCTGAAGCTAGTCGAAGCCAGCCTGGTCCAGGAGGAGATGGGAAAGCCTGGCTGAGGGCAGCATTAGTCAGGTTAGAGAGGTAGGCTTGATGCCCAGAGATATGAAAAGATGGAATCAGGAGGAGGTTAAGGCTGAAGGGAAGTGAGGAGAGGAAGAAGAGGGTGTGCAGTAGGATGACTCCCCGGTTCCTGCCTGCCTGTTAGGGATCTAGGTGGGGCCAGGAACTATGCTAAGGAACAGAGAGCAGCAGGCTTAAGCAGAGGAAAAGGCAGGTTTCCTTTGGGACCAGGTGTTCTTGAGGTTCCTTTGAACTTCTAAGTTCAGATGCTGGTAGACTGCTGAACATGAGCCTCTGAAGGACAAAGGCCCAGAGATGGAGATTTCAGCGTGATTTTCAGCCTCTATAGAGTAGTGGACAGAGCTAGAATCTGCTGATCATTTAGACCTGAGTTCAGCAAACACTCTGTGAACTATGGATGCTTTGTGGGCCATCCGGGCCTCTGTCACAGCTAATCTATTCTACTGTTGCAGCAAGAAAACAGCAAAAGACAGCGCATAAGGACTGGATGTAGTGAGTTCCAGTGAGGCTTTGTTTACAGAAGAACTGGCAGTGACTAAAATGGGCTGATGGGCTGTCCTTTGCTGAGCTGAGTTAGTTCATGCTCATTGTTTCTAGAATCACCCTGCAGAAGGTAATGCAAGTAGCCTTGCAGTCACTACTACTAATGAGATAACTTTAAAAATCAGCAGTGTGTTTATAGCGCTTTCATTAAACATCACCTAGGTCAATCCTCAGGGAGACACTCTTAAGTATTTTTATTATTCCTATTTCACAAGTATGGCAGGTAAGGTAGAGAGGTTAATAACTCATTGAAATCACAAGAATCACATGTAAGGAGGCAAGGATTTGACTCTAGACCCTGATTAGAGAACTTAAGAGCACTCAGCCAAGACCAGGACACCTGGGTTTTAGCAGCCTCTGTTTGACTTAATTGCTTGTGATGTGAGGCAGATGGCTTCATTTCTGGCCTTTGGTCTTCTCTTCAGAAAAGCAGTTCCCCAGGCCCTTCTAGCTTTTACATTCTAGGACTTCTAACTTGTCCAGTGTCACCCAGCTAGAGCATGGAAGACCCAATCCTAGTACCCTTCTCCTAGGTTGTCCTTACTCCCACCTAATGAAGGAAAGGCCAGAAGTCCCTGAGATGTGGTGACTACTTTAGGGGTTCCGGAGACTCTCCATGTGAGATGTAGGACCCTCTCCTGACCACCAGGAGCCTACTCAGGACAGACCCACTTGCTTTTGGCAGAGAACAGGCATCAACAGCCGCAGTGCCCTCATCTGCTACACGACAAGTTTTAAAAAGTGATGTAAACATGCAAAGCAGATTACTGCTGCCCGTCATTTGTCTTATTGGGGAAGTGCAGAGTTGATGAGAATGAGTGTGGACCTCCTGGGAGCTCAGATTGTGCACCTGTGTTCACCAAGTGGGTTTTGGCATCGTGAGGCCCCTGGAAGTGAGTGCATTTGGCAGCAACTTCAGTCTCTAAGGTATTACTATTGTATCCATCCTTTGTTTTGAAGGTTTTCCTATCCTAAAAGCCAGATTTTCAGGCTGAAAGTAGTCAGAAAGCTTTGTCATTTTCCCTTTCCTTTGAATAAAAAAAGAAAGGAAGACTCTTGCCCACTTGTTAAAATTCTTTATGTCATATGAGCTCACTTATTACATGTTACATACAGGACCATGATGTTGGTGTTACAAGCCCCATTGTAGAGATGACAAAACCCAGGTGAAATGCCTGCTTCTGTTCATACAGGTAGTTAGAAAGATTGCTGGAGTCTTTGTGGCTCTAAACATTTTTCATGGATTTAGATGGAACTTTGAGCTCTTTCCACCTTGGTTTTACTCCATGGTTACCATCCCCTTTTTCATTTTGCCAAGCCAGGAAATGTAAGACCCTGCTGAGGTAGGCCCAGTGTTGGGGCTTTAAAGACCCTGAGGCTGAAATTGCTGCCTAGGCAGGGCGATGCTGAGGGCCTCAAGCTTTGGCTCACCTCCCAGCTGCAGTCTGACCCCTGGCTTGGCTCGGCGTGGCTCTCACTCCCCAGGCACCCAGGACGGGGCAGAAACGGGCTTGCTCAGTAACCAGATTGCATGGCGCGTGACCTCACGTCCAAGACCACCTTTCTCAGCATGCCGCGTCTTCTCCCCACTCATCATCTGTTTTGGACCAGCCTTTGCTTAATGTGGCCAAGCTTCCCCAAAACAAACACAGTCAATTTAAAGGGATGTGAAGTCATAAGCACAATTGAGGTAGCTTTCCAAAGGTGCTCATGAAAATGTGGGATTCAAAACTATGTGCCTTTGTCCTTCAAGCCAAATGGCTGGGAAGAGGTAGGGAGAGTGAGGGAATATGTACAAAAGGGGAGTCCAGACCCTGGGCTGCCCTCCTGGCTCTCCACTGTTTCCCGTGGACATCTGGTAAAACACCCCTCACATCTGGAGGCCTTCATTTCTTCCTGCTGGAAAGGAACTGTCAGACTGAGAGCCCTTCTTGCTTTGACATTTTACCAAAGGGCTCACATGGCAGAGGAGAGGACAGTGGGCTTAGGAAAGACCTGGGTGTGTTTACATGAAACGCTCAAGAAAACATCTAACCTGCAGTGGTCAAAAGCAGATCAGCGTGGCCACAATGGAATGAGGGTCTGACTGAGCAGGACGTGGGGGAAGTTTGTAGGGTGAGGAAATGCTCTATAGCTTGATGGCTCTGGGGAGGCCCAGATAAGTGTATGTATTTGTCACAGCTTATGAAACTTAAAATGGGAACCTTTCATTGTATGCAAATTACACCTCAGTGAAGTTGATTTAAAAATAAGAAATAGGTAAATTCATAGAGATGGAAATGTAGATGAGAGACTAGTTACTAGGAGTTAGGGGTCAAGGGGACTAGGAAGCCACTGCTTAATGGGTACAGAGTCTATTTGGGGTAAAGAGATTTACTAATGAATGTCCATTAATTATATGCTTAAAAATGACCAAAATGGCAAATGCTTTGCTCTAAATATTTTACTGCAATAAAAAAAAACAGATAATGTGACTATATCCCAGTTCTGCCCTGTGCTGGCTGAGTGACCTTGGGCCAGTCACCAGACTCTAGGGAGCCCTGCTTCTTTCTGTAAAAGGAGCTAGGAATACCCAGGGTACAGACTCTGATGCCCAAACGAGACCATGGCTGTGATCAAGGAAAGCCCTCTATAGACTCTAATTTGGTTTCTGTAAATATATAGTCTGTTAATAGTCTTCATCCTGTGATTCTACTTGGTTTTTTGGCGTGAGCTCACACCACATAGTTAAGGTCGTCTGCAGACACATGGAAGTCTCTGCTGTCCCCTGGGCCGTGCAACCAAGCCCTTTAAATGTACTGTGCATTCTTTCCACATAGTTTCCCAGGACAGATCCTGTGCCATTCTTAGGTTTCTTAACAGCCCAGTTACACTATGAAGAAGTGTCAATGAAGGAGATGGAATTTGTAAAGCCACCTACCGGTGACTTTTAGGCTGAAAACCACCTTTTTATTAAGGAAGGCTAGAACCACTCACCCAGATAGAAGAAACCTTACTGTTTTGGGAGTAATTTCTCTGTGCCAGACTGTGTGCTTAATGTGTGTTTTCTCCTTCAATCCTCAATGAGGACTTCTAGCCTCATTTTACAGATGAGAAAACCGACACTCAGAAGGGTTAAATAACCTGCATGGAGTTGTAGGGTTACTAAGTAGGTGACAGTGGGAAGAGAACATCAGCATGCCAGCCTCACAGCTGGGCCCTTGGTGTTCTGTTGCATGTAAACATTTTCACAGAGCATGAGCATCAGACAAGGCACCGTGATGGGTCAAGGCCCATTCAAGACCACTCAGTAGCCATGGCTGCCATGAACATCATCCAAGCTCCAAAAATGACCAAACATTATTCCCTCCTGGCCTTAGTCTTACTCTTTGCTTCCTGCCTCCCAGGTAAGAATTATTAAGATAATCATCCTCATGCTTCCTGAAAGTACCTAACCCAGAGAGAAACCTTACTTTCTGGACCCTCCCGCTAAACATCTAATATAAGCTTAATCCCATAAGAAGCTCTTTCTAATCACTTTTTCCAGACTTGCCCCTGGTTCCCCTCATTGCAATGAGCAATAAATCAAACTTGCTCAAGTGCAAGTGTGTTCCCAGTGGTCTGCAGGCAGTTGGTAGCAGGAATACCAGCCTGGATCTGCCTGATTTCACATCCGTGTGCTTGTACTCTTTCACTGCATCTCCCCGAACACAGGGTATTCAACTTACATCAAACGCTAGAGAGCTGATTTGTTTTCATCTTTACTGCATGGTTTCTATCTACTTTGTTGTCCTCTAGAAACAAAGGTTATTAATATGCCAGATTCACAAATGAGCTTATTAAAAGTTCATAAGTATTTGCCAACTCCTAGTAAGAGAAGCAACTTTTCATTCACTCATTTACATCCTCATGCTCTGTGTTACAACAGTAGGTGTGCTGGCCAGGTTCCAAGCTTGTGCTCAGAATGTGGGACACTGACGTGAAAGGTACAGCGGTGCTCACTGTGTAGACAGCACTAGGAGGTAATGTGATGGCAGTGTAGACATGGGTCTCTGCAGGGCAGTGCTGGAGCCCAGGAGCAGAGTGGTCTGCGTCACCTGCACAGTCCAAGAAGCCCTTCTGTTTGGGCTAGCTCCGAAAGTATGAACCTGTAAGTGCAGGGCAAGGAGAGCTCTCAAAGTTGGAAGAAACTGTCTAAGCAGAGTCTCAGGGGTGGGGAATCTTACCATGTCAGGGGGACCAGGGGCTTCCCTGGTGGCTCAGATGGGTAAAGAATCTGCCTACAATGCAGGAGACCCAGGTTTGGTCCCTGGGTCGGGAAGATCCCCTGGAGAAGGGAATGGCAACCCACTCCGGTCTTCTTCCTTGGAAAATTCCATGCACAGAGGAGCCTGGCAGGCTGCAGTGCATGGGATGGCAAAGAGTTGGACACAACTGAGCAACTAACACTTTCACTTTCAAGGGGACCAGAAGAACAGAGCAGAGGTGTGGCCTAAAAGACTGGTAGTAGATGAAGCCAGTGGGAAAGGGGGCCACGTTGGAAGGGCCTCGTGGGTCGTTCTGTGGGGCTGTCTGCCTCATCCCTGGGGACTTAAGGAGCCTGGAGGGTTGTTTCAATCAGGAAACTGGTATGATCAGTTGCAGAAAGATCATTCTGACAGAAGCATGAGGAATTTTTTTTTTTTTTAAAGCATGATATATGTGACCAGAAGGGTGACTTTTGATTCATGGTCTGGAAAGGGGCATTTATTAGCTCTAATGTATTATGAGACTAATAGGTCTTATGTGCCCAGTAAAGGAGATTTGACCTTACCCTGTGGGTAATGAGGAGACTTTGAAGGATTTGAAGCCAGGCAGAGATATGGTCAGATCTGACAAAAGAAAACAACAGACATCAAAAATGTGCCGCGTTAATGTGTGATTCCATTTCAGCTTTTTGGAATGTCAAAAATAGCCTAAAGACCCCATGGTGACCTTGCCAGAAGTCAGGTCAGAAATTTCTGGATCAAATGATTTCTTAGTTTCCCTCTAGCTCTTGACAGTCTTAAGATTCTGTAACAAGGAAGGTAAAGCTATTTCCAAAACGTATAATGCATCAGAGTGTCAGACTTTGGGATTATCTGCTGCTTGGGGTTTTCCACACCAGTGCTCCCCTTCATTAGTGGGGATAATTGAGAGTTGACTGCAGTCGTTACCGCTGTTGTGATGGGTATTTGAAGCTAAATTCCTGCAAGCAGGAGACGTGTGAATATTTATCTCAGCTGCAGAAAGTTAATGCAGTGTGGCATTAATTACCCTGTCTGAGCCTGCTGTCTTCTTCTGTTTTTAGGTGTCATTCTCAGTTGAATAAATTAGTTTCCAAAATTAGAATAAAGCAAATGGTAGGGTGAGATCAAGGCAGCCTGACTTCTTAGGGCATCCAAAAAGCCGAGTGAGCTGAGAAAGTCTACCCAGGAAAGAGGAAGCTGCGTTTTTGTAGCCCAGCATAGCACAAGGAGATGTTGTTTCCCACTAGTGGTACTTCACTACTTTACCTCTCTACCTTTGCTCCACTCACCCCACCCCCAGAATACAAACACACAGAAAAGTTGCATGTTTAGCCTTATCACAACTATCTGAAACATTTCAAGACATTGGCAGAGAATAGATTAGGTGCTTAATACATCATCTTGCTGTGGCTTTTGCTCGAAATTTGATGCTGAGAGAATAAAGCCAAGGGAGAGTGTGTTTAGGACAAAGGGATCAGAACAGTGAAAAAAGTAGAAACTCTATCCTAGACATTCACATTCATTCAGCAGACTTTCATTGAGCACCTACTATGCTAATTCTACATGTAAAATGGCAGACAAAATGCACAGGTGGTAACTCAGAAGTTGGGTGTGGAAGAATAAGCTTTCCTACTTTATGTCATCAGATATTTGGAAGAAGTATTATACTTTTTGTTTACCTTTCCAAGACAGAAGTATTATACTTTTTTTTCTTAACCTTTCCAAGACAAGTATTTATATATATATATATATATATATATATATATGTATGTATTTTTACCTTTCCATGGTTAGAAACCATTCAGGTTTCCAATTGGCAAACTGTTTTATTATACACTTGGGTGCCTCAAAGAGTAGGAAGCTCCTTCTTCCTGGAAGAATACAGAGATGATGAGCTCTAGAAGAAAATATGCTGGACTTGATCTCAGGAGTCCTGGATTCTATTTACAGCCTGGTTACTAAGTAACCTTGGGACTCTGGGGAAGCAAAAGCTCTCTTCGTTGGGCTTCATATTCCATCTTCTTGCCCATCCCCACTTTACAATAAAAGCAAGCAATACAACATATTAAATCTATGAGAGGCAGCACAGTGACTTTGAGTTCACACAACCTCTTTGATTTTCAGTTTCTACCTGCAAAATGAAGATGGAAAGAATAAAAGCCACTCCTGGGATGGTTAGGCAGATAAAACATTGGGATGGCCAAAAAGTTTGCTCGAGTTTCTCATAAGATGTTACAGATGAACTTTTTGGCCAACCCCGTAAGACATAAAGGTGTTTTATATAAATTCCAAAACACTCTACAACGCCATAGCTGGAAGACTTTTTGCTTGTTTGTTATGGGGTTTGTTGTTGTTGTTGTTGTTGTTTAATGGCAGCTATTGTAATAAATGAGAAAAAGCACTGGAACTTACTTTTAAGGCTCAAGTGAGCCTTACTTACTAGCCTTGTGACCATGGGCAAATTACTTAACTTCTCTGTGCATGGTTTCTCATTTGCAAAAGAAATAAATCACTGCCTTAATCACTACATTCAAAAGACAATGTACTTGAAAATATCTAGCATGGTGTCAAACACATGGTAGAGCTACAAAATGCCAGTTCCATCTGTTGGTTCAAGGAAACAAGCAGTTGGAAAGGATCTGTACCCACATAGCAGGAGCAGGCTAATGTACAAAATATGGTGGAATTAAGATGTCATTTTGTCCATTTAATTCTGGTACAAATATCTGAGAGTGACAACATGAAAGTCAACTTTAGTTTGGCTGCTGAGATTAAAAAATCAAAAAAAAAAAAGAAAGTCAACTTTAACAGAAGGGCCTGTGCATGCTTCAGACCAGTATATTGACCTGATCTGCTTGCCAGTGCACCCTGGGCCATTTCAGTATGAACTGAAGTCTGAAGTGACTTCAACAAGGCCAAACACCATTTCCCATCTACTTTTGGATTGAATTTTTGCTGTGTCATATATTGGTGAAAACCTTGTGAATATCTCAGGACAGCCCCAGGGTTGCAGGCAAGTGATTGACCAAACCCGAAACTGCAGCAGGAGTGGATGGAAAGAAGCCCTAGAAGCTTTTAACTAAGAGCTAATGGCATGATTGCTGTTCTCTTGCTCTAAAGCATTCCCAGTCATTGCTGTTTGCAGAAACCAAAGAGCGGTTTGAGACAGAATTTCAGCAATCTCAAGTGGATGTTCATAAACCTGTCTTGGAAAAATGTTCACTTGATGTGTGATCATTGTTACCATGTTCTGAAGACCATGTTCCTACCAAACACTATGCTGGAGGCTTTATATATATTCTCTCTAATCCTCACAAGAACCCTGTAGGGTAAATGATATTATTCCCATTTCATGGTTGGGGAAACTGAGGTTCGGAAAGTAAAAGTATCTTGTCCACATCACACAGCTAGTCCAGCTCTGTCTAGTAAGTAGACCCTGTGATTTCCCTAACAGGCAGTCAGGCTCAGCTTGAAAACCAAGGGCATGACTGGGTGAGTTGTTGTTCTTAAGGATAGAAAAGGATGCCAAAATGATATGCACCATGACTGAATAATCCCAAAATAACCCAAGGTCATTCATCATAAACTGTCATCTTTCTGTTCTCATTCCAAACCCTTCTTCCCAAACTGTCTCAGAAAACCCTATCGGGAAAAGAGCGGGTCTCACTTTGTCCCTCTGTCCGTAGGAGCCGGAGCCTCTCTATGCGCAGATCAACAAATGTAAGAAATAGCGTCGATGCGGGCTTGTGGCGGATGCTTCAAGACTGGCATGGAAATCAGATCGCGACAGGCTCTCTTGTATTCTTTCACCTCTCGTCATCCCACGAAGAAATTCACGATCGCCCAATGGAACTCCTTTGGAAGAGGGAACTAAGGTTTTGGCAACCACTGGCAGAGGTCTATGGCAGCACAAAAACAAACACACAGAAATATAAAAAACCATCCCCAGCATCAAATCACAAATCAAGCAAGTACGCACCCAACACATGTTCCAGGCTCTCTTAGCATGGGTTTAAGATGACCCAGTATGTGAAACCCGAATTCTCTTTTTATTTCTCAACCTGTTGACCACTGTAAAGACATCTGATTTGGAGTGACAGGCCTCAGAGAGGTACATCAGGCTTGGCACTGACGTCATTTAGGCGAATGTAAGGTCTGTGTCACCGCAAGATGCTCATTCGTATGCCTTTCCACATAGGATGGTGTAATTACAACGCTCCGCAAGGCCTGGTCTGCCGGTTTCTCCCCTTTCCTTTATTAGTCATGTTTGAAATTAATGAGTGTACAAATTTTTGTATTGTTTTGACTTTTTTTAAGATATTGATGAAGAAATTCAATTGGGAAAAAAGAAAAAAAAACCCATATGAAATGAATTCACTTGAAATCATCACAAGACAAATAAGTGGCTGATGATTCTTTTTGATTAAGAATGTTGCCAAAACAACCCTTTAAGCTCTTCTGTATCCTGGTGAAGAAAGACAGATTTCGGTTTAACCTTCACTCTGTGAGTAGGAAAGGACATCGAATCCCATTGATGAGAAAGATGAAAAGTACGTCTGATTTCCTCAGAAGCTCTAAACTCTTTAAGTCCAATAAAATGAGATTTTTTATTTTTCCGATATCTTGCTGCTGTGATGCTATGCAGACAAGTGTCCTCTCCATGTGCCATTTTCAAAGAAAAGTCATTTGCCAAATACTTCTGGTACAATCCTGGTAATGTGGTTTGGGATTTTAAAAAATCGACTTGCTAATGGAACAGTGGTGACATGAATATTCAGAGTAACAAACTGATTCTGTGGTCATGATGGTTCATCTCTATCTCTTTTTGTACATCAGAAAATTCAAATGGGATTTTTATTTTATAACTTAAAAAAAAAAACAAAAAACCTTACCATTAAACTCTTTAAATATTTAAGGGAAATGGCTTTAAGGAGTTCTAATGAAAAAAAAAAAATTGCCCGTTTGTGTTTTTTTTTTGTAAATATAAATGTTAATGAAAATGTTTTTTTTAATAATGCCATTACACTGTAGAGAAGGTAGCAGATTGAGTGCAGAATGTGACAAAGCTGATGGGTGGGGCTCACTTTCCGGAGACTACTGTGGAGCTCTGGTAGGAAGTTGGAGTTCAGGGACATCTGGCCGAAGCAGTCAGCCAATCAGCAGCTAGTGACCAGGAAGGGAGCAGGTGGCTCCAGCCTCTCATCTCAGTCTTTCTGTGAGAGTACGGCCCTCTCTGTAAAACAAGAAAGAGACAGTTCATGCTCTGAAGGCCTGTCCTTCCGATTCTGAAACTCCCTCCCACCTCTCCGCTCCCACTGACCCTGTAGACATCACTGGACTGTTTGTATGTGAAACAGAAGAATTTAAGCTTCCTTTTTTTACATTTATGAGACAAAAAGTGCAGTGTTTGGTTCGTATGTTTAGCACATGATTTTCATAAAGAATCTATATATTTTTGCCCTACAGAGAATATTGTTCTACAGGTCAACTGTGTTTTCCTGATGTTCCTATGCAGTTACAGTATGTTGAATTGAATGGTTTAACGCTAAGAAGAAACCTTTAAAGAATCATGGGATGAATTGGATTGGGGGTGGGGGTGATTATCCTTACTTGGTTTTAAAATTTGAAAAGTAGAATTTATCTTGATATGATTGACTGCCATCGGCCTGTGTACTTTGATACTTTGTATCAACAGAAACTAAAATGATTTGGAAGAAGGTATCCTTGGTGACCAAGGAAAAAATTGAGAAGTCAAGGTAATTGTTACTGTTTGAAGCCCATGTTTTACACTGTCAGGTCACTGGAATCTAAATGTTTTCCAGTTAACTGGCAAATGTCCATTGCAGAATAGATGTGTCACCCTAACATGGAAGGTCTGAAGAACTCGAGAGCTGAAAAGGGCCATTACCTTCCTCTGTAGCTGTCACATTTTGGTTGACATGGCTTCTCCAGGAATGTGCATACTTTGGATGAGCTGATCCTTCCATGTGAAGGGGAAAATGGGAAAGGTGTGATAACCATGAGAGTTGTCCTGAGACCAATTCAAGTGCGTTTTCTGGGGATTTGATGAGATAGGCAGTTCCCACGGGGAAGTAACTTAAATTGCTCTGTTGTCCGTGATTCTGATTCTAAACCAGTGGTGCTATCTTCTCCCTCAATATGGTTGTCTTGAGTTTGTCTTGCAGTATCACACCCTTCCACTGATTCTGCGGGTTGCTTCTGACATATTCAAAGTGAACTCTAGCTGATGTGGCTGTTTCAGGTACACCATCTGGAGCTCATTTCATAGCGGAAAGTGACAGCCCAGAGGATTTGTCATCATTCATTGAGTGTGGGTGAAAATGTAGCTGGCTCTGAACTTAAAGAAGATGGCCCCTGTAATACATTAAAGTGAGGGAAATAAAGTCAAGATTTTAAACTGCCATCCATGTTATCACTGGCTGAATTCTGCTGTCTAATAAGCACTGTTTGGGGAACTCGGAACCACCGTATCCTATCCCAGGAAAACAGTGAAATTTCCAAGTAAGAGCTGAGGTGCAGATAGCAAAAGGCCATGGAGGGTATGCACAGTTCCAGTTAGACTGATAGAAAATCCACGTGTACAACTGTTAATTCCTCATCCTTCACTAGCACGAAATTTGTCACTTTAAATTTTGAAACCAGGGAAACACCACCTGTCATTCTGTTCCCATTCCCCATAGCTCTCTTTACATGCCGCGAGACTTTTTTGATAATTTGTACTCATCCCTGTGTCTACTGAATCCCCATCATGTAATGTACCGGGCACCTTCTTTTAAAAAAAAAAAAAAAAGTTTACTCTGTGGGTTTGGTTCATTCCAATTTCTGCGTTCTGACACATATTTTTTTAATAAAGATGAGAAAGAGAAAATGACTCTTGCAGTACATTTCTAGACCTACTTTAACTTTACCTCAGATGACCGTTTGTTAACATATATGGACACATTATTTTTAACTTTATGTACAATGCATTCAACAGAACAGCAAAATTTTTAGAAATTTTCCATTAATTTCTGTAACACACCATGTAAAACTGTTACAAATAAACATGTTTGAGAACAACACCTTAGCCTGGTTTTATTCCATAAGCTTCTACTGGATATTCAGGTTGAGGAATTGGAAGAAGAAACTGCTTTTCTCAAAACTTCCATTGGACCAGGTGAAGGCCTGTTTTCCTGGCACAGGACCAGAAAAAGAAAGCTCCATTGAGGAGTTAGGTCAGTTTGTCTTCAGTTCAATTCAGGTACTGGCTCCACTTGGAAAATCACAGTGAGGAATGAGGAGGCTGTTGTCAGAAAAAGCACACCCCGGGTAGATGCGGTGTTCAGACCACACTTAGCGTGGGACTTTAGAAGTTGGGAAAGACCCCAGGACTTACCCTATGGACTTGTGTCTTCTTCTAAAAAATTTTAAAAATAAAGCAAAAAACCTGCTAAACTGTTGGTTAGAAGACCAAGCTTAACCTAGACTGTCAAAGAATTTGCCCCATAGTTCAAGATCATCTGCTATAAGAGACCCAAAGAATGAAGCATTTATCTTCCTTCACATTCCACACACAATCCACACCAAAAAAAACATGAAAGGAAAAGAAGTCTGGAGCTGGACCTTGACTCTTAAAATGTATTGAAGGAAAGAAAGAAAAAAGTGTGTGTATTTCTGTGTATATGTATATGTGTGTATTGTTTTTATTTTCTCTTGTAATTAAATCAGATTGTTGATCCAGTAATCAGCCAGATTACAGATTATGATTAGGTCTTTGGGATGCCAAAAAACACCTCTGCTAGGACTGGTTATGTTAATGGTTGTATAAACATATGCCCTCAGTCTGGTGTCATTAAATAGAAAGTATTAAACAGATGTTACCACCAACTTGGAGAAAATGAGAGAAAGGATTCTAGCAAAATAAATTTGGGCCAGATAGAAGGAACAGCGTTCATACAGTAAGAAATGGACTGAATTGTTAAAAGATGTTATAGAAGGCTTTCTGAATAATAGTGCCTCATACTTGTTGAGCAGCTATTAGTTACCTCAAAGATGCTCCATGCAAGGTGGCCATTGCCTTAGTATTTAATCTTCCAAGCATTAGACATTATCCTCAGTTTATAAAGGAACTGAGACTTGGAGAGATCAAATAACTTCTTCAGCTAGCCAGTGGTAAAGTTAAGAAGTTTCTTTACTCACAGTTGATTTTAATTTTTTTAGAAAACTGGATATTCACCCTTTTTAATAGTTCTAAATATTCTTGTTGAAAAGTCTGATCACCTATGCCTCTTCCCAGAACTCTAGTTGATCTTTGGTAAATAAGTTAGATTTCTAAGTTCCTCCAGTTGAAAATTTAAAAACATCTTAGTATCTTTAATATGTTGCTAACTTTATAATTTCTTTTTTAATTAGCACTTTGAAAGGGTATGTGTCAGAGGGATTAAAAAAAAAAAATACACCTTTCTGCCCAGCTGGTTCAAGTTTAGTTGAAACCAAGAACTGGTGATTTACTTTCCCAACCTAAATGCATCTTTAAGAAGTGACAAATTAAAAGGTGTCCTATTTAACTATTAGGCAGATGCCAAAATAAATCAGGCAGACATATCTGCTTTCATTTTGTGCTTGAGACAAACCCTTGTTGTTTTGACAGTAAATGGTTTTTGTTTTACTCAAAATGACAGTAGGAGAAATGCCTAGAATAAAAACAGGTTTCATTGAAATCAACCTTCAAAGCTTTGAAACCTTTTAAAAGATGTTTAAATGCAAAGGAATTGGAGCAACAGTGCCTGAAAGACTTTTTTTTTTAATGAACAGATGTAAATGGCTTTCAAGCCATTTAGTAGCCAGTTCTCAGTATTTATGTTAAAATCTTAATAATAGCTGCTACTTTCATGCTGCTCCTACTGTATATGTGTCACTCATTTTCTAGCTATCACTTCCAAATTTTTACACAAGCCCTGAGAAGAAAAGAAACAGGCTCCCCATTTTACAACTTAGGAAACTGAAACTTAGAGATGTTATGAAACAGCAGTTAATTCACAGAACCAGCGAGCTCTCCCAGAGGCTGTTGAGGCTCCCAGGGTCTGACCTCCAAGTCTCTTTCCCGTCTTCCATGTTTGCTTCTGTCTGCAGGGTTTCTGAGATGTCACATGGCTCACGCACCCTCTGTAAGATACTTTTAAAGTCTATCTTTATTCCACTAAAAGTGGTGTCTATTAGAAAAATCACACCCAGCCTTACCTGGGCTGACTTAGTGCAGAAATGGATTCTTCAGTAAAACGACTGCAGATATTTTTTAAGACGGAAAAATTCAGTTTTATTTTTAAGAACAGTGATAACTCTAACCCAATCCAATGAATATATAATTGCAAAACAAAACACTAGCATTCATTTTCCCATCTAAGATTCAGAGGTCTGAAGAGGGAGTCTTTTTGAACAGGTTCATCGTTTGCTGAAGAATATTAATGACTGCCAAGTGGAAAACGTCCAAATATTCTTGCAACATGGCAGCCTCTGATGACTTGGGTCCTTAATCTTCAGAACAACCTCTTGCCACTCTGTCACTCATGCAGGGACCACAGCCTGGATAGGGAACCAGCAGGGAAGGTAGACAAGGGAACAGGCAGTGATCGGGGCTGACATCTTGTCAACAGTAAAATGCTCAGCTGTCCTTTTTCCTATTGTAAGGAACTCTACCCTGCCTCTTGGGGAGGCACCCTGAAATCTCTCTTGTTTCAGATGATAGAAGCTAGTTACCCATAGTTCACTGCCGTGAGCTCAAGAACCTAGGAACTTAGTTCTTAAAGGGAAATTATTTCCTCTTTCCTATCTGTGCCCTTTCAAACTTTCATAGGTGGTAAAAGAAAGGTGGTCAGTGACCACACAGTCCATGTTCATTCTTTTAAATAAAGCAACATCAT